AGGGGCTGCGGGAGGAGTTTGACCGGCAGTGCCTGCTCGTCAGCACGCTGGCCAGGCTGGCCCAGCAAGTGCGGGATGCTGCCCCGTCTGCGCGCCAGGTGGGTGCCAGGGCGGGTGGGAAGGGGTGCGAGGGGGGTGCCGGGCTGTGTTTCATCCCTTCCCACCCCATGCCCACCCCGCAGGGCATCCTCCGCGAGGGGCTGGAGGACGTGAAGCAGTTCTTCAAGGCGAACGGGTCGTGCCGGCTGCCGCTCAGCCCCAGCCTGCTGGTGAAGGGGATCGTGCCCCGGGTGAGTGCCGGAGCCGGGGGTGTCGGGGGGGCTCCTCTGCCCGCCCCCGGCTCACCCTGACGGGCTGCACCTTCCTCCCCGCGGCAGGACTGCTCCTATTTCAACTCCAACGCTGTCCCCCTGAAGCTCTCCTTCCAGAACGTTGATCCCCTTGGGGAAAACATCCGGGTCATTTTCAAGGTGAGCCCGTCCTCCTGGTGACGCCCAAACCCCCGGCATGGGTACCCCAACCCGCGTGGGGCTGGCTCAGCTTCGTCCCCACTGTCCCCCGGCTCTGATGGCTCTTCCCCGCCGGCTCGCAGTGCGGTGATGACCTGCGGCAGGACATGCTGACGCTGCAGATGATCCGGATCATGAACAAGATCTGGGTGCAGGAGGGGCTGGATATGCGCATGGTCATCTTCCGCTGCTTCTCCACCGGCCGCGGACGAGGTAACTGGGAATTGGGGCATCCCCCGGTGGCATCGAGCCCCAGGTCACCATGCTCAGGGGCTCGGGAGGGCGCAGGAGGTCCTGGGGCTCTGCTAGAGAGGAGTTGCTGCCAGTAGCTGTGGTCCACCTTCGGGTCTGATCCCACCAGCTCATCTGTAGGAACGCGGCTTTGCAGGCTGTCACTCAACAGTGATGAGCGGCTGGGTTGGTGGCAAAGGGGGGGCTGGGGTCTTGTTGCCGCCTGGGTGGGATGGATGGGTCTCACCCTGCTGTCTCGGGCTGCCAGGCATGGTGGAGATGATCCCCAACGCCGAGACCCTACGCAAAATCCAGGTGGAACACGGCGTGACGGGCTCCTTCAAAGACCGGCCGCTGGCAGACTGGCTGCAGAAGCACAACCCTGAGGAGGATGAGTATGAGAAGGTGAGGGGGAGCCTGGCAGGGTCCCTGCTCCTCGTGCTCCGCTCTCCAGGGACAAGATCCCTTGCTTCCCAATTTGTCCAGCCTTCCTCCATGCCTGGTTGCTCCTTCCCTCCCTCTTCCCAGGCCGTGGAAAACTTTATCTATTCCTGCGCCGGCTGCTGCGTGGCCACCTACGTGCTGGGGATCTGCGACCGGCACAATGACAACATCATGCTCAAGACCACCGGCCACATGTTTCACATCGACTTTGGCAGGTTCCTGGGCCACGCACAGATGTTCGGCAACATCAAGAGGTGAGAAACGCCTCTGGCGTCTCCTTCCCCCCCTCGCCTGGGCTCATCCCTGCGGGGCTGCGGCTCTTTCGCACTGGGGCTCACCCCAGTTTTGTGGGGTGAAATCTCATGCTGTGGTCCCGGTGGCGGGTGCCCCGCGGCCACGGTCACCTTCTGTCCCTGCTCTGCAGGGATCGGGCGCCGTTCGTCTTCACTTCGGACATGGCGTACGTCATCAACGGGGGGGACAAGCCCTCCAGCCGCTTCCATGATTTCGTCGACCTGTGCTGCCAGGCCTACAACCTGATCCGCAAGCACACCCACCTCTTCCTCAACCTGCTGGGGCTGGTGAGAGCCGGGGGGCTGCACGCCCGTCCCCCCCCCGGGCACGGCAGCGGGGTCCTCCTGCCGCCACCTGCCCTGACCCCCTGCCTTGCCTCCCAGATGCTGTCCTGTGGCATCCCCGAGCTCTCCGACCTGGAGGACCTCAAATATGTCTATGACGCCCTGAGGCCACAGGACTCTGACGCCGATGCCACCACCTACTTCACCAGGTAGAGGACACGGGTGGGTGACGGGGCAGGAGAGGATGAAGGACACCCCATGGAGGGAGACAGGGGCACTGGCTCGGCGCTCCTCCGTGCTGTACACGTGGTGGCCTCGTTGCAGGTTGATTGAGTCCAGCCTGGGCAGTGTGGCCACCAAGCTCAACTTCTTCATCCACAACCTGGCGCAGATGAAGTTCACGGGCTCCGACGCCCGCCCGACCCTCTCCTTCGCCCCCCGCACGCACACCATCAAGACGTCCGGCCGGATCCGGGACGTCTTCCTCTGCCGCCACGAGAGGGTCTTCAACCCCAGCAAGGGCTACGTGAGTGGGGACAGGCAAAGGAACAACTTGGGAGGTTCTGTCCCAGTGCTTCTCCCTGGCCCCATATGGGCTGGGGGCACCCCGGGGGGTCCCCATCCCACGTCACAGCCCCATCTCTTCGCAGACCTACGTGGTGAAGGTGCAGCGGGAGAGCCCGGGCGATGTGACCTTCGTGCAGCGCACCTTCGAGGAGTTCCAGGAGCTGCACAACAAGCTGCGCCTCCTCTTCCCCTCCTCGCTGCTGCCCAGGTACAACCCCCCCCCCCCCCCCCCCCCCCGACCCCAACAGACCCCCACATTGCCCCAGGGCTCCCCCACCACCCCCCCGGGCTTTGTTGAGTGTCCGTCCCCACAGCTTCCCCAGCAGGTTCGTCATCGGGCGGTCGCGGGGAGAAGCGGTGGCCGAGCGGCGGAAAGAGGAGCTGAATGGCTACATCTGGCACCTCATCCACGCTGCCTCCGAGGTGGCAGAGGTGCGGAGCCCTTGGCGGGGGTCCCAGCAGGGTGGAGGGGGGGGCTGCTGTCTCCCAAAAGGTGGGGATGGCACTGGGGACACCAGCAAGGTGGGATGGTGCTCGGGGACCAACGCGCTGCGTAAAGCGCACCGGCGCCTGCGCCGGTCCCGAACGGGCGGGGGACACGGTCACCACTGTCACCCGCTAACGTCACCTCCTCTCCCCGCAGTGTGACCTCATCTACACCTTCTTCCACCCCCTGCCACGGGACGAGAAGGCGGCTGGCACTAACCCGACCCCAAAGCCGGCAGGTAATGGGGCTGGGGGCAGTGCTGGCAGCCGGCTGGCAGCATGTGGGGCGATGGCGTGGGGGACCCCATCCCACCCGTGTACACCTTCTCTCCTCCTTTCCAGACGCCACGTGGGCTCGGCCCCTGGGGAAGGTCGGCGGGGAGGTGAAGCTCTCCATCTCCTACAAGAACAACAAGCTTTTCATCATGGTCATGCACATCCGGGGGCTGGTAGGTGCGCGGTGCCCCATGGCAGTGGGGCGGGGGGTCCGCCCCACCGCTATGCTCACAGGGTGCCCCTCGCCCTGCCCCACAGCCGCCGCTGCAGGATGGCAATGACCCTGACCCCTACGTCAAGACCTACCTGCTGCCCGACCCCCAAAAAACAACCAAGAGGAAAACCAAAGTGGCCCGAAAAACCTGCAACCCCACTTACAATGAGATGGTAAATGGGATGGGGCTGGGGCTGGGGGGGGGGGGCCCAGGGGGGCCGTGGCTGAGGGTCTGCCCCATTCTGCCCCCACAGCTGGTCTACGACGGGATCCCCAGGGGGGACCTGCAGCAGCGGGAGCTGCGCCTGAGCGTGCTGAGCGAGGAAGGCTTCTGGGAGAACATCCTCCTCGGGGAGGTTGGCATCCGCCTGCGGGACCTCGACCTGGCGCAGGAGAAGATGGGCTGGTTCGCCCTGGGATCCCGCGGCCACGGCACCCTCTGAGGTCCCACCGCTGGGGCTGGGGACCCACGGCACCGCCGCCGCGGCCCTGCCCGCCCTGGGATGCGCCCGTAGGGACCGGGCACCGATGGGCGCTGCCGCGGGCGTCTTCTTTTTTAAGTTTACCTTGTGTCAAGGGAGCAACGCGGGGAGGGAAGGGCAGGGAGGACCGGTGGGGCGCTTCGGGGAGGGTGTTTCTTCCTTTGGGATATCTGTATTTTAATTTTTTTTTTTTTTTTTTTTTAATAACGAGTAGCGTGCGGCCGGGCACCGGGGCGGAGAGGGGAGGCGTCGCGGAGGTTCGCTGTGGGCTGGGGGTGCGTGTACCCGCAGAGGCCCCGGGTAACAGCTCCAGCCAGGAGCTGCCTGCCCGGAGCCGGGCAATTCCCATCGCGGGGAATTTGCTCCCAAAGGAGAGCGGTGTGTCGGGGCCGGGCACGGTGCCGGCTGACCCCCCCATGTCCCAGGAAGGGGACCGCTGGGCCACCCTTCCCGTCCCCAAGCCGGCGGGGACATCTGTCTCCCTAAAGCCGGGGACGCCTGCGCCGGGGTGCGGGCTTGGTGCCTGTGGTGCTTTGTTTACAGCGAGAGCTCCGTAAACGGACGAAATGTTTCTCAGGATCGAGAATAATGAACTTAACCTTTATATTAAAAGTTTTAAATATTGTATCTAGTGGGAGTTGGAGGGGCGGGGGGGGGCGGGGGGGGGGGGAGGTGGAGAGCAGCAGCCTGGCCCCGCGGGTGGCTGCTGGAGCTGGCACTCTCCTGCCTGTGACACGGTGGCGTGAAAATAAAGGAGGTAAAACGCGTGGGGTGGTGCGTGGGCCCTGCCTGCACAGCTGCCCGCCGCAGCGCTCAGGAGGCCGAGTCCTGTCGGGGGCGGCGACATGGCTCCCTCAACTGCCCCCCCCCCCGCCCCGCCCCGGTGCACACGGGGACCCCCGGCCTCCTCCTCCGGCCCCTCTCCCCAGTAATTACCCCTCAGCCGCCGTTCCCCGCCACTTGCAGCCGGAGCGGCCCCGGGAAGCGGGACCGGGGACGCGGGGTTGTGGCGGCCCTTCCCGCCCCACCGGCGGCGGTTCCCGCCACCACAGGGGGCGCTGCGGGGCGGCGCCCACCGCCCTCCGGCTGATGCAATCGGCGGAGGGAGGAGGCGGGGCTTCCCCCGCCTCTTCCCCAGAGAGACGGCCTCTTTGTCCAATGGGAGGCGGCGGCGCTGTGTGACGGCAGAGGAGTGGGCGGGCCCCTCCCCTCCCGGCGGCGGCGGGAGGGTTGAGGCTCTGGGCGCGCCCCCGGCGCCGCCATTTTGTGCCGCCGCCCGCAGCAGGATGGAGTCGAGACGCCGAGACGAGCCGCCCGCCTCCCCCCTCTGCCCCGCAGCCCCTCGACGGAGCGCCGCTCCGCAAGACCGACCGCACCGCTGGGAACGCTGAAGAGCCTCCTTGTGCCCGCCGCCGCCGCTCATGGAGCCGAGCGGTCGGGAACGCGTCGGCCCCGGCTTGGGGCGGGCCCGGTTGGGTTTCGCCGCGGCCTGGCCTAAACTGGCCGGGCCCAGCGCGGCCCCCGCCGGCGCCTCGCCTCAGGCGAGCCCTCCCTTCTCGTGGCTGCGGCTGATGTCGCAGCTCCTCTCCCCGCTGCCCGCTTTGCTGCAGCGGCTGCTGCCCGGCCCCGCGCTGAGCAGTGCCCTCTGCCCCGCCGCCGGGCCCGCCAAGGGCCCTCAGCCGCCGCTGCTGCTGTCGGAGCCGGCCGCCTCGCAGGACTGGGCCGATGAGCCTCTGCCGTGGCCGGAGGAGCCGCTGGAGAAGGGGCGAGAGAACGGCACGGAGCCCCCGCCGGATATTTGGAGAACCGGGCTGGCGCGGAGCAACCTGGTGTCTTTGCCCGTCCCGCGTGTGCACTTGTACGTGGTGGGCCAGGAGCAGGGCCAGGCTTGCTGCGCCGGCAAGAGCCATCTGCCCCAGCCCCTGCGAGCCGAGGTCCCCGCCGAGGCCTGGCGAGGCTGCCCTGCCCGGGGCGGCTTGCCGGAGGTTGAGTTCCTCCGCAGCAAGCGCTTGGCTTTTCTCCAGCGGTGGCGTTTGGCGAGCGGTGGCCTGACCGTGCCGGACCTGGACCACGGCTATCACAGCCTGGAGGAGGAGCAGCAACAGCACAAGGGCGTTTGGCAAGAGGAGGTAGGGGGACGGCGGGAGCAGCGGTGCGATGCCGGGGAGTTGAAGAGGCTGGAGGAGCCCGACGACGCCGGGAAACAACACGGAGGTGGTCCCTTGGAGCAGGAGGGGATAAGGGGTTCAGCTGAGAAGGGGCCACTTGAGAGGGAAGCCTTGTCTGAAGAGGATGATGAGGACTCCGAAATAGAGCAAAACCTTACCGTTTCGGTCAGACCTGCCTGTGCAAATAAACTAATAGACTATATCATAGGGGGAGTTTCCAGCGGGGAGGAGAGTGCAGATGATGAGGATGACTGGGATGATGATGATGACGGCTTTGATAGCGAAGGGCTTCCCTCTGATTCAGATGCCGGTAGCCAGGATGGGGAAAGGCTTCATCTCTGGAATTCCTTCTACAGTTTGGATCCCTACAACCCTCAGAACTTCACAGCCACCATTCAGACATCTTCCAGCGATCCGGGAAAGGATATGTCGGACATGGAAGAGGAGGAGGAGGAAGATGATTCTTCATGGGCAGACGAGTCTTCAGGTTCTTCTCACCCTAGTTCTGAAGAGGAGGACGAATGGGACTGTAGCAGTGTGGATGAGGCAGAAAACTTGAAACTTTGGAACTCGTTCTGTACCTCAGATGATCCGTATAATCCTTTAAATTTCAAGGCAGCCTTTCAAACAGCAGAGAAAAAAGGGACGCCTGGTTTAAAAGGAGCAGAGAGGCCGAGTGTGGTCACTTCTGAGCATAGTCACTTAACTGTCTGTCGGTTGGAAACTGTGCAGTTGGAAAAACATAACTGTGGGGTCACTGACTTTGTGCAGCATGGCATTCTTTCTGGTGAGAAATGTAGAAGTACCAAGCGGAAAAAGGTATATACTTTGTTTATGTTTTTGTGTTTTGGGGATGCTTAAAAAAAAAAAAAAAACAAACCCACATTGCACTAAGTAGTATGTGAGTGGGTGAGGTCACCTGTGCCAGGACTCCAGCCACGGTGGTGGGCAGGTCATCCCCCCATGAGCCTATGGTCTAATTATTTGTCTGAAATGAGTGTGCCTCATCCTTTACACGTGATGGTAGATTTTGTAATTCAGTGACACAGGGCAAGTAATTTTAAATGTATTTTCTAGACTTAAATTTTCCTTTTAAGATGCAGTTTTCATTCTGTGTCTGTGTGTGTTGTCCCGTAGTTTTCGTCATCAGAGAAACAGATGAGAACTATGACGTAAGTTTTTCCTCTGGAAAGTACCCGTTAAGAATAATGTTGATAAAGTATTTTAGGACCTCTGCGTATGCATAGTGTAATCGAGATTTAAAGCATTTAAACATTTTAGAACTTGTAACAAGCCTGCTTGAGTTACAAACGTCTTTTGGAGTAGGAAGAAGTCTTCAGTTACGGGTTAACACATGCTACAGTAAACCGCTGAAGTTTCAGTATAAAGTATAGTAATACTCCCATTTCCATTTAAAAGACTTTTTATTCATTGGGCGTTTATATAAAGGGTGTAATCTGGAGCTGGACTTTTGAGCACAAACTGGAAATGTAATGTGTTTGAGGAGTATGTGCATTAAAAAACTTTTAATATGTGTGCTAGGATTCAGGTAAATTTTAATAAATTCATCCTCTCATAAATTTTGTGATGCTACAGATGTACAAGATGGATTTTCAGGCATGATGTCTGTGTCTTGCCTGATACTTCAAACATTTGTATGAGTAACAGCTTGTGATGAGGAGTGCCAGGGTAATATACTAGTGTAACAAGTTATCAAAATAGAAAACTTGTATAATGCTTGTTTTAGCTTTCTTAGAGTGGGAAGATTTGTTTGCTCCTTTGAGAGCCTGGCTCAGAGGGAACTTCATACCTGTTTTTGTTAGGGCAAGTAGCGTTTACAAACTAATGGTTCACACAGGACAAACTATTATATTTTAATATAATTGGAAAATACACAAATAGTTCCCACAAGAGGTCCTCTTTAACTGACAGCATCTGTCTGAAATGCTGCAAGGTAACAATGATGAGCCCTGCTATATAAGTTCATACTGCAGTGACCTAAAATATTGTTGTGTGTTGGGGACATGGACTTACCAGTAGTAATTTTTGGACTGATTTGTTGTTTGACTCTGTGTAATCTATTGACATGGTGAAAGAACAATGATCTAGATGCAATATTTAGCATGACGTTACAAAATCCAGTAATTGTGCCCAAGGGTGTCTTGGACTGATGTAAAAAGGATGTAAGGTAGGAACTCGCAAAGGGATAGGCTGATGTAACAGCTCCATGTGCTTGAAAGCAGATACTTAATTAGGCCCACCCGCAAAACAGAGCAGAGGTTGCCCAGCAGTGACTGAGGTGTTCCCAGGAAATTTTTGAGTTACTCATCCTGCTCAAGCTTATTTCCTATTGGGCATCCTGCAATCAAACATCAACAATATCCATGTTTGTAAAGTCAGAAAACCTGGAAGCATTATGAGTTGGCAAATGCCTTGACACTCTGCGAGAACATGTGGGGTCTGATGCCTCTGCTTTCACAGACAACTCAGCAGTAATTTGGGATCACTGCACTAGAACTACATGACTTCTGGTTTCACACAGTCTCTTGTGGCTCTGTATCCTCAACTGCTGATTATTCGTGGAGGTCACCTCCGCTGTAACTGTTATCTTCATGTTTTCTGTGAAGGTCAAAAGATGGCTCTGCTACAAAACTCAATATCGCTCTACACTCCTTATTGTGTTATTGTGAGCTCCAGATGAAACTAGGGTTCTGTGTTAATAAAACATTGGAATGCGTTTTTTTGTACCTCCCCACGTTTTTGCCTGACCTTCCAGAAGTAGCTGTCCTGCAGCAAATTCAGTGGAGTTGTCTGTAACAACAGTGTTTGGCTTGTCTTCAAGAATCAGTCCTAGTCTGAGAGTTGATGGATGCTGACAGCTAGTTATTTTGTCCTTCGGTTTTGTGCTTTTTGTACAGCTAAATGAAAAGCAGTACATAATTCAGTAGGAGCCTGAAATAGTCTGGCTTTTTGCTTATTGCTTGATAACAGAAAGACTTAAATCCTTAGTATAGTAATAGTCTAAATACTGTCAAGGTTAGATCCTGAGCCTATAAGTTTATTTTCTTAAAATAGCTTAATAGTTCTTAAAAATAGCGAAAAGTGAAAGTTTTCTTATTTAAAGTGCCATGACTTTGACTTCATTTCCTTGCATGAACTTAAAAACGCTGGAATTTGATACCAGCTCTAAATAGATGAGTTTGTTCCAGTCACGTAGTGATGAGTGTTGCTTCCTTATATGTAGCGTAGTGCAATTTCTTTTCCTGGTACTGAAGTACAAGCTGACTCACATGATCGCTTACTCTACAGAACAATTATGATTTTTTTTTTTTTTTTTTAATTACGTAAGCTTCAGTAATCAGAGGTGTTGGCCAGTAGCATATTTCTAGCCTTAAATGAGTGTCTTGGCATGTCCAACTGAGCAAACTGCTTGAGCTGTATCTGTGTAAGGTTGTAACCCAGTACTGATACTGGGGGCGGGGGGGGCGTTGTTATTTCACAGGGAACACTGTGTTATCTGCTGTCAGCAGAAAGAGGCCTCCTAGGCCACAGTTTAGAAATGCTGTAGGAGTTTGAGCTCTACTTTTGGTAGAGGGGGAAGTCAGCAACTGGTCACTTTTAAGGCTGAGAGATAAAGTACACTCTCTCCTAGGTGGTGCAGAGACCTAGCACGAACTGGGAGCCATATTTGAGGTTTCTTGCTGTTTTAGGCATTTTATAACTTTTGTTAAAAAATTAAAATTCTATGTGCAAATAAGTAGTAAGCTTCTTTTGCATGAGTGTTTAACTAATGCTTTACTAAATGACTTGTCTTTTCCAGGTAACCTTCCTTGAAAAAGTTACTGAGTATTACATAAGCAGTGAGGAGGATCGTAAAGGACCCTGGGAAGAGCTTGCACGAGATGGATGCAGGTTCCAGAAACGTATCCAGGAAACAGAAGAAGCCATAGGATACTGCTTCACAACAGAGCATAGACAGAGAGTATTTAATAAACTCCAAGAAACCTACTACAAGAGGATTGATCTCTTCTAGCACCTTAAAAGATCTGGTAGTTGTGTGACTCGATAAGCGCTCATGAACATCTTCAAAACAAGTGGCAGCTGCATGTGCTATTTTGAAATGGGGAGAGAAGTGGGATTTCAACACTGCTTTCCCAGCTCGATGTTCAGCCAGCGAATATATCTGTGTGTCCCATTTTGATACCCAGACAAAATCTTTTGAATAACATCAAGGGTAAGGGTGGTATAATTGCATTCCTTTTAAGTAACACTTGAGAAACAGACTGCTTTAGGTTAAATCCATTCCAAAAATGCCTTGTCTGCCGTATGTTGAGAAGTGGTGACTATTAAGTTGGATTTTTGCACTTTGAAAAAGCAAAACCTATTTTGAAGGAAATATTTATGGGGCTCAGAACCTAGTTATTGCAGTTTTGATTTAAAGTTTCTAGAGGTGTGTGCTATTTTCTTGTGGTTCTCCATTTTCTCTAACTTGTACAAAAGTCTCTAATTTCGTTAGCTAATAACATTAACTTTATTATGCAAAACAGGTAGTTTATTCTTTTTAAGATCCCAGGTTTGCATGGAATCTAGTATTTGTGTGTTTATGTAATGCGTTGATGTTGTAATATTTAAGTCTAGCACACTGGGGGATTCAGGGGAACTCTGGTGCACTACAAGCCCTTTGGTCTGTCTTTATTTAAATAATACCTTTACCCAGTACTGTTCCAAAGGGTGTTGGCTGCTTGTGCACCAAACCTCTCTGCTTTCAGGGCAATGAAAGGCCTCATCCCGATCGATAAAGCTTCAAGGTATGTATCAAGGCTCTGGCCGATAGTTTGAATTTAGGTAGCCACGCACAGGGAACTAGCCCCTAGGGTTGTGTTTTTTTTTTTTTTTTTTTTAGTTAATCTTAGAGTAACTTTGCCGTAATTGATTCTGTTTTCTGAAGATGGATTGAAGTGGAGGATTCTTCCTGTTTCTTGTATCCAATATGCTCGTTTGGTACTTGTAAGGAGAATTATCTTTGACTTACAGAAATGTAAGGCTACAAATCGCTACATTCTTTACCAAAAGCCAGTATTAATACCTCTATGCGTCTGCACTTTTGTTCATCTGGTACCAAAATAACATTTCACGTTGGGGTCTGAAAGTCGAGGTCCTCAGTGGAAGGAAAACACTCCTTACTTATGTTCTAACTTAAAATGTTTAATTGTTGTTTCAGTCAAAATAAAAAAGCATATCCAAATGGTGCTGTGTTTGGACCTGAAGGATGTTGTGCAGCTGTTATCCAGGCAGGTACAAGGTCATGCAATGGAATAAATATCAAACATCAAAGAACTCTTATCTGTTTGCACGAAGTCGCATGAATAAATGCTTTGCTACTTGGTTCACTCGGCTGAGTAGAATTGTTTCCCTGTGAAACCTAAAAGCACTTTGGATTTGTCATCTGACTAATGACTTCAATTTTTTGTTAGAAAATTACATACACAGAGGAGCTTCACAGAGATTTTCTGAATTTTTGCTTTATTGTGCCATCTTTTTGGCCATCTCTTAATTCTGTCTCAAAAGTTTCATACTTTATTCTTATTGCATGAAGTATGTTCTTTGTATTTAAAAATTACCTTTCTCTGCTACAGGTGTTACAATTAAGATATTCCAAGGGTTAACAGTGAATTACAGCAGAGTTGTCCTGTAAACTTAAAATACAGCCAAAACTCAAGCAGCCTTACAGGGTGGCTACTTGAAAGCAATGCAGCAATGCTCTTTTTCATCCCCATGGCATAAAAAAAAAGATTCTTCTTCCCTGCAAAAGATAATTTTAGTTGTGAAATCGTAATTCTAATTATGCCCTCAAATCCTGTGAAATAACTTCTGATTTCTAGGAGTTAATTTACCTGTATCACATTTGATGACAAGTGTTCTGCTTTTTTGTTTAGAAGGCATGCAGGATGATAAATGTAGAATTGCAATAGAAAATCTGTTTGACTTGTGGTCCAAGTGTGACTGATACATAAAAATGCTGTTTGTTGCTCTTGGTAAAATATACTATAGTAATTTTTCCACGACTCTCCTAGTTTCTTCAGTCTTGGAGAACTTGGTGCTTCAGTTACTCTGGACAACTCGCTTTACTGGTGCTTGTAAGAAGTTTTAGAGTGATGTGAACTAACACCTGCAAATACTGATCCACTGTTTGCAGAGGCTTGGGAAAGGCTACAGCTGGAAACGAACAGGATTGACAAATTGGATATAAACTACATTAAAAACTGCTACTGCCAAAGTGCTTCTAACATTGGAAAATTATTTTTTTCCAACATGGAGTTTATCAAGCGCCGTGTTCTGACAGTGCTGATTATCCCTGAAAGGTACCTGCTTGGGTAAGCTTTTCCCCCCTCTCAAACCTCACATTCTGAAAGTATCCACTGTAAGGTGAGAGGAAATTAACACTAAATTCATCACTGTAAACATCACCTTAAAAGCAAGCTAAGCTTGATTGTCACCATTTTCCTTATATCTTAAAATGATCATACAGGATGTGTACACGTGTAAGTGCTTTGAGTGAAACAGTAATAATAACACTTGCTGAACTTTAAATCAAAACTGTAATTATCAGATTTTATTTTTGTATAATTTAGAGAAAGTTAGAAAACCTTCAGCATTGGCTTTATACAGATTTTAATTGATTTGTGTCAAGTTTGTTGGGTTTTTATATCTAAAGTTATATTTCTGTACATAATAAAACTATTCAGAACTAATCTGTAAATTGTAATAAAGATATTTGCAAGATAATGCCAAATTGTTTTTCCTTGAAAGAACTTACGGGAGGCGTCAGGTGACTCTGCAAAAGCACGATTCATGCATGTATGTTTGGCTTTATGAGAATATTAAATATTTGTTTGTCACCTTTGGTGTTTCAGATGAGGTTATGGTAATTTAGAAGCAGGCACTTTCCCCTGTGAATATTCTTCTGAACCAGTAAACGCATGATCATAAGGGCTCCTTGTACTAATGAATCTTTTAAACTAAAATACAAAGTGTGCAAGTGCAATTAGTTGTATTCAAATCAGGTGTTGGCTTGGTGTAAACAGGGATATTAATATTTTGTTGCCTTAATTGAAGCTGAGTATTGAGATTTGGTTTCGGTTTGCTCACTGGTTAACATAACTTTAAATATGAATACTCTATGGTTTTGAAGGTATTTCAAGGGTGGTTTTGAAGTATTTTCAGGCTTTGCACCGAAACAAATTTGAGGTGTCGCCCTGTGAGTAGAAGCGACTCAAAGGTGCCAAACATCTGAGTTTCTTCAGTTAGAGAAGAGCCAGAATGCTTCCCTGTGTTTTGCCACGTAGCGTTGGCCTATAACGCAGTGAATGATTTGTTCCCTTGTTTATGTTTTTTAATGAACTTTGGAGTAAAATGCTTGGTGAGGAGCTCCGAATCTGCGAGAGGTGGCAATGCCCAGTGACAATCCCTGCACAGCGTTATCCCACATAATTATGCTTAATGAAGGGTGGGTTTTTTTGTTGTGTAAAGCCGAATCTACCACTGTGGGGTTTAGGCTGTGATTCTGGCCCAGCCCTGCCTGCCTGTGAAGCTGGAACGCCTCGCAGGAGGCGGCTGGACCTTTGCCGGGCGGGCAGCGGGGGGCCAGAGCAGCGGGACGTGGGCTTTACACCTCGGAGTTACGGGGTGGAGGGGCCTGGAGGGGTTTGCAGGCACAAACCGGCTTTTCCAGGGGTTCCCGGGGCTTATTGGGGAATGAGCCCGGTCAGGGTGGGCGTGAGGATTGTGGCCTCAGCCTGAGCCCTGCTGGCGAGCTGCCTCTGGAGCAGGAGCTGCCTCTGGAGCAGCGGTACTGGCGACCAGTGTCATGACAGGTGTCACCCTGGTCACGACGAGTGTCACCAGGAGCTCTGCTCCTGCTCACAGCATAGGAATCTCAGGAATGAGTTGGAGGGCAGCGGGTGGGTCACGCCTCTTCCAGGGCGAGGTTTTTTGGGGGGGGAGAGCTGTCGCGTCGTTTTGTTTAGGCCTCGAAGAAAAGTCCTGCTCAAAGCTCAGGCCCGGGATGGTGCTACGTGCTATTTGCTCTTGCAGCACGGGCCAGGTCTCACCCTGCGCTTACGTGTTGTTGGGGCATCTCTAAAACACCGTTTGGGCAGTGTTTGTTTCTGTGAGAGCGTTGTGGGTAGAAAACTGCTGGACTAGACAAGGAAAAACTTTGTTTGAACTTCCTGCTTTCACTATTGAAAACAATGAACAAAGCTGAACACGGTGAACATAATAACGATGGTGGTTTTCCTAAGTGTTTTTTTTAAAGTAATATTCACCTGTTCTGTTCTAAAATCTGCCTTAAAAACAAACATTGTAATTTCTCATTATTCAGTGAGATAGCTGAAGAAATACAGTTAGTGTGCTAAATGAAAGCTTCTGTGTATCTGGCAGTGGTGCATCCAGATGCCATCTGGAATGTAGAAATCCTGCTGGGATTTCTTTATCCTATCAGCGCTGAGGTCTGCAGTTGGAGCTCAGTTGACAATTCATCTGTGTTAGAGTAGAATTGTTCTTGCTCTGATAGCTGTATCTTCTCCACGGGACTCAAGAACTTGTTAGTCAGCAAAGCACATGGGGAGTAAATAAGCTGCTATCTGTAGTCACTACTGACTGCGTCCACTAAAATGCCATTTGCAAATTAATAGTGCTGCAGAGCTGGTTTGGTCCCGCAAAAGCAAGTTTCTCCTGAAACTGCCAGGCAGGAGAAGGCAATGACACTGAATCACGATGTGATTGCAATTCCAGGGAGAGTCGGCTGCTCTCCAGCCGCACGGCCTCGACCCCATGGGCTGTAACTCGGGTATAATCCAAGGTTTATTCCAGCATGTGTGGTGGGGGGGGGGAAATGAAGTCCTGTAAAAGCTATCCATTAGTCTTGAGGGTATAAAGTATTAGAGCCCATTAGTAGCAGGCATCCATCTGCCGCTCCTGCTAATGCTCACGATAAGACTGTTAGCAATAAAAACACTGCCTGCTTTGTAGCTGCCCCAGCTGCATGAGCACATCGGATATTCCTCGCTTCCCTTGCCTGGCTGTTGTTTTTGGGATGGCACGTGGCGTTTTGCTGGATGTCTTCATTCTTCCTCTTGCAATCACTAGGTGTGTTCCTTCACACACACACACACACACACAAAAATAATAATAATCCAACAAAACCCTCTGCCTGTAGAAATGTACTGTGGGGGGGATCCGGCTCCGGCAGACGGGCCTCAGAGCTTCGAAGCGGTGGTGGGAAAGGAGCAGAGTTTACTGTGCTCCCTTTCTCAGCACATCTTACTGAGTCAAGGGCCAAACCTGGTTTGCACAAGCCTACCAGCTGGTGCAAAGAAGCTGCTGCAGATAAATTCCTGCTGTCTTTGTCACGGGTACAGTCTGGACAGCTCTGACTGGTACTATCTTAAGCTAAATCTAAATGCTTGTCTTTGGGGAAGATAGCTGCCACAAGGAAGAAGTGACACAGACAGAGCAAAGCAAAAAAAAAAAAAAAGTCCTGCTTAGACAATGACCTTGCTGCTCGATGGGTCTGTGGAGGTTTGTGTAATGGAAGCAGCGTGTTTAACATTGCTCTGGGGCTGCTGTTCCTCCCTGGCTGCTGCGTGAGAGGCTCCCGGCCCCGTGGGAAACGCCGGCTAGCTTCCTTCCCCGTCACCCAGGGACGAGGCACCTCGTCACAAACAGAAAATCCCTGCCGCCTGCTGCCCTGCATGCAAAGAGCCGCCTTGGGCTGCGAGCGGCTGGGATACGGTCCCAGGGCTCTCGCAGGGATTTTGTGCTGAGAAGAAACAAAAACCCAGCAGGGACATTTGGATTCAGCACCTTTTCCTCTGCTTACGTACCCTGCTTCTTGGTTTAGGCTTGCCGTTTCAGGTTGCTGAGATAATTTAGACCAGAGCTGAGGTTAAGCAAGGCTTCTGGCGAAGGGGAAGCAGGAGCAGGTTAAAAAGATTTCACTTCTAGAGCCGGAGGGATGTTTTGCTGGCAGCACTCCATGCCTCCTCCCATGCCTGCTGTTGGGAGCTATGGTAACGAGCTGTACAAGGGTTTGGAGTTCTCGGGTGGATGTGGGAGCGGTGGGTTGCTGTGCCTGGTGGTAAACGTGTTACTCAGATTGGTGATAAAAGGCTGTTAAACATCTGCTTGCAATCTGGGTGTCTGGGCTCCAGCGTCCCAGCCCGGTAGGATCCACAGAGCAGCACCCACCAGCGCTCCCGGCAGTGGCGTTCCCTGGCACCATCTATCAAATTACAAGCAGTTTACAACCAGACATAAAGAATATGAAGCAATTAGCTTTTTTTTTTTTTTTTTTTTTTTTTTGCTTAGCAACTCTCTCTCATTTGAGGTCATTGCCGGTCTCTCTGCTCGAGCTGGGAAAGCCAAGAAGGAGCAGTGTGCTCCTGCCTGTCCTGGCATTGCGATGCACCCGGGGGGAGTGCGATGGCCATCGTGTCCCCAGCCTGGTCCCCCCGTGGGGCTTTTGAGCAGTTGGAGGGGCAGCGTGTGGAGCAGAGGGGAGGGAGGAGCTGCCAGCTTGAAGTTACAGGGGACGGACTGCTGTCCAGTGACAGTGGGAGAGGGGGGCACGACGTGCATCTTGGGGTGCGCCAGGTTGGGTCCGGCGGAAGCGCTCGGCGGTTTTATTTCTGGTCTTGTTTCTGGGGATGCTTTTGTCCAGGAGATGGTGCCAGAACCGTGCGGCAGCGCGGGCCCCGCAGCCAGCGGTGCTGCCAGGGCCACCCCAAGGTGCTCGTGGCCCAGTGGGTCCCCCCGGCTGTCCCCCCTGCGAGCCCCTTCCCACCCTCCCCTCCGCGGTGGCCCGGAGGCGCTCCGCCGCTTTGCTCTGAAGCCAGAGCATCGGGGCGGGCCAGGCAAATGTGGGGCAAGTGCCGTAACCATCCCTTTCTGTGCAGAAGCGTCCGGTTTTGTGACATTCCTAACGTCTGACCCGCGAGGGCTCCACGCAGGAAACTTCCTCAGCTTTCGTTCGCTTTCCTCGGCAGGGCGGCTCACCCACGACGGGCTGGGTGTCAGGCAGCGGCGGGGGCCAGCCCCCCTCCCTGACCACAAGCCCCAGCAGTGCCTGTGTCACGCCGTTGCTCACCCGGCGCTGCCCTTTTCCGCGTGCTTCGCTCCCTTCGCCTTTTGTTCTCGGCGTGGTCCCACGGTGGCTCGAAGCGAAGGCTCGGCGCTGCGTGGAGGGAGGAGGAGGAGGTGGCTGCCAGTGGCCGGGCTGCTCCTGGCACGTTGGCAAACAAAATCCTTCTGCCCAAACCAGCACCTCGCACACCAGGGTGACCTGGGGCCCCTGGGCTGGCCAACAGCCGCGCGTCTCCAGAGGACGGCCGATGTGCTGAAGCTGTTTCTCGCTACAGCAAATTCCTCTGCTGGGTATTTGCTCCATCTCCATGCCTGGTCCTGATGCAAATCCATTTCCCCACGAGTGGGCTTCTGCTCTCAGGATCATCCCGTGGGAGACCAGGGCCTTCCGCGTCCCTCCATGTCCCCGCTAAAGGAAGGACATGGGACAGAGGTGGCAGTGCCCGATGCTGTGGGAGCCACCCTGGGACCAGCAGTAGAAACGCTGAATATGGGTGGTTTTGCAAAGAAAACTTTGGTTTGTGCCTGCTTGCTGTCCTCTTCCTAACCTGAATGGTTGCGAACAAGGAGCTTTTAAAAGGATTTTAAACCATATGAAAACAAAAAGCCCCACTGGTATTTCCCCTTTGAATTTCCATTGGATTAAGATGGAAAGAAATAGGGGAAAAAAATTCTCTTGTGGAAAGCAATAAAAGCTGATTTATTTACCTGGCAGGAGAGAGCCTGGAGCTGCTCAGGATTCTTGGCTGGAGGTCCTACAAAGCCCTCCAACAACCTCAGCATTATTTGCCCCAGGGGCTGCACCAGCTCCTTCTCCTTTCTGATGCTGGTGTCTGATGAGTCGGTTTTGCCCTGGGCTGGAAGGTGAGGGCCCTGCACAGCAAGCTCCTAACCCTGGGACGGCGGGGCGGGCTTGTTCGCTTCTGGTTCTCTTCAGGTTTCTGTTTCACATCTATCTAAATAAATTGGCATGGGTTTTGAAAGCTCAGCCCTGAAAGCTTTAGGAGGGGGAGATCTCAGAGGAGGTGCCTGGAGCTGCTCAAAGACCCGGGTCCCTGAACTGCTGAGGACCAAGGCCGTGTGTGAGCCGTGACTCAGGTCAGAGCCTGCTCCTGGGAAAGAAAACCCCGTCTGCGAGCGGCTGTGGAGGCAGGGTGCCCAGGAGGGCCCGTTGTTTCCAGGAGTGCCGTGGATATCCCCGCAGCGCCTCCGCCAGCGCTGAAATAGGATTAGGGCAGCTTAGGACCAGACCTCTTGCCGTGTTTGACTTTATAAAACTATTTCTGCCTTGAGCCCGCCCGTGCCGCAGGCCATCTCTCAGCCAGGGCCGGCTTTGGGGGTTCCCCCCCTCAAAAAACCACAATGGAAACAGTTTAATGTGGCAGCTTTGTCCACAGCCGCCCGTTTTTGAGTTGCCCCTGAGATGAAGCACCACCGCCCCGAGCTGCTCGTGCGCTCCCGAGCTTTGGCCGCAAGCGTGAAGCTCCAGGATTCCTTCGCTGTGGTTTGGGGTGTGCGGACCCTGCACGGCCGTGGAGGCAGGGGAAGCCGAGCTGCCTCCCGCGGGGTCAGGCTGTGACCTCCCCAATCTCGGGGCGCATCTGAGCATCAAAGCCCCGGGAGTTCCCCGTGGTCGTTAATCGGGCGGTGATTGACGTTTAGCTCTGCAGATGGGAACGTGATAAGGGTGGCAACTCCCCAGCCGCCCCGGCGTGACCGTAACCTGACAGGGGCAGGTAACGCTATCCCCGTTCAGCCCAAACCCAGGCAAAAAGCCCACTCTTGCAAAAAAGCCAACGCATAACGTCATCCCAGGGAGCCGTGCCCTGAGCCCCCCCCCCCCCCCCCAGGGATGCAGGCGTGGGGGTCTGAGCACTTGGCTCGCCTGCGCAGTCCTCAAGTCACATCCACGGCACAGGCAGGACACGAGCTTGGCCCGCCGCTTGCAGCCAAGAATTTCTCCCACAAAATGGAGCTTCCCCGGGTGAACCGGTGCCCAGGACCGTGGCACTGCTCCCTGCTATGCCAGGGTCCCATCAGATGCCCTCCCGATGGGCTCGCTGGGACTAACCAGACATGTTTTTTCTTACCCAGTGGTTCAAAGAACTATAGGAGCCTTCTTGAAGCTTCGGGTGAACTGTTTCCCCCAAATCCTGGCAGGGAACTGCTCTGATGTGGGGACTGTGTTTCAGCTTGGTGGGGCAAGCCCCTTTCTCCCTGCTTTGGGGACCAGCTCCTTCCTTTCCGCCTCTCAGGCCTCTCCTGAACCAGCATCTTTCTCCCTGTGCCATGAGAAGCTTCGCAAAGGCGCCGCTGAGACATGAGGGCAATTGCCTCCTTCACAGTCACCCAGCCCAGGTGCCTCCCAGACCCCACCTTTCCCCTTAAAAGACGTTTAATTGACGGCTAAGAACAAACAGAGAGAAAATACCCATTGGGCAGCTCCGAAAGCGTTGCAGATAATCATCAGGGTGCCCTACATACTGCCTCGGCTTGGCTGCGAGATCAGACAGGGAGAAGAATTTGACATTGTTTAAAATGAACAGGAGAGGGAAGTAACAACTCCATAATTACTCACCCCGAGTTAATTGACGGTAATTACGCCGAGCAGGCAGTGGAGGAAGCTGTGACAGGCTAGCCCCGAAGAGTCATTTGGAGAGCAGCAGTGCCTCCGTGGTGCTGGGAGGATGCCCTCTGAACCCCGGCTCGCAGGCAGGGTGGCAACCCGGCTCCGAGGGGGTTAAGTTGATGGGTTTGGTTGGTTGGTTTTTTTTTTTTTTTTTTTTTTTTTTTCCCTCCCTCCTTGGTTATTTGCAGCAAACAGAGTCTAGGTGGAAGGTCTGAGCTGAACAAGTGGTTGCTCCTGGGGTGAAAGGGAGTTGTTTGGCACTTCCCCGAGCCGGGTGCTGTCCCCTGTCCCTCCTCACAGCGTGGGGCTGCTCTGCGCCCGAGCCCCCCCACCGCCACCCCCATGGGGGATGACATCGACTGGCTGGACCTGCCGGGCAGGTGGACCTACGGAGTCTGCGGGGATGGGCGCATCTTCTTCATCAAGTACGGTCCTGCCCGGCAGCTCGCACAGAGTGGGGGCTGCCGCGGGGATGGGGTTTATGCTGGGGTGTGGGGGGAGCCGGGTGCACGGCTGGGGGGGCTGCAGGGGGTCAGGGGCTTAGTCTGGGCTGGGAACAAGGGGTACCCCTTGCTGCAAGCCTCTGCATTCGGCTGCTTTCCTATCATCTCCCCTTTCCCCCCACTTCTCTCCTCTTGGGGCTCTCTGTTCTCCCAGCCTGATGGATGCTGTTCCCCTCTTTCCCTAAAATCTGGTCCTACTATTCCTTCGGCTGGAAAAGTTCCCTGTGTTGCAAAGACCCTTCCTCAGCGATGGAAGGGGCTCCCGTGGGTGCTGACAGCCCCACTCTTTGTCTTTCACAGCGACGAGACCAAGTCCACGAGTTGGGTGCACCCCAGCACAGGCTACTCCATCCAGAGCGGGCACTTCTCCTGCGCCGGTAAGGGACGGCTCCCGGGTCTTGGCATTTGCTCTCTGCCTTCCCCGGACACTGATCAGAATCTGGAGGTGTGGAGTGAAATCCTCCAGAAATGCAATGGAGACCCCGAAAAGCTGAGCGAGCAGGAGCTGCCTTGCAGCTGGGGAGGGTCGGGGGACTTTTTGAATGATGAGTGAGGCCACGCTGCATCTCTCTGGCATGGGGTTTCTAGCTGGAGAGATGTTCTCGGGGGGCTTTTAAGAGTCCCCTTCCTCAGAGTGATCTCTGAGATCTGTCGCTGGTGGCAGGGGGGGGACCCAAACCACTTTAAAAACGCAGTTTGAGCATGTGAGAGCTGACCATGGCAGGACGTGGCACCCCACAAGTGTCACAATTGTCCCGTGGCTCCCTGCCCACGTGCTCCAGCCCCTCTCTAGTGCTGCACCCTGCGAGGGACATCTCCTCCACGGTTGCCTCCCGGTGAAGCGGGGCCTCAGTGTGACACCGGGCATTGCTAACCTCCCGGCAGCAGGTCCTTCAGGCAAGCACTCTGCTCCGGTGCAACACCCCAACCCACAACAGGGCACCCGTGGGGATGGCAGGGGCTGCGTGGGGCAAGGGAGAGTGACCTCTGCTTCTGCCCTGTCCTTTCAGGGCTTCCCCGAGGCTGGGAGGTGGACACCACGCTGCACGGGGGCTTCTACTTCATCAAGTAAGTGAGAAGGGGCTGGGAGGGAGAAGTTTCTGCCCCCTGCTCGCGAGTGTTGTTGGAACTTTGGAGGATGCTGCTCCCTGGGCTTGTCTCTGCCAAAATGCTGGCGAGTGCAGGGTGGGCTGCTGTAATCTGGCCTCGTGGAGGAGCAGAGCGATAAATGTGGGGTTTGGGAGGCTTTGGAGCATGGCAGTTGCTAGAGGATGGGGCAAGGGTCTGCGCTGCTAGTGCATGTCGGTTTTGGGTGGGTACCCGTGGACCGGCTGTGGCTCATCCCACGCTGCTGTGGACATGGCTGTGACGGTCCTGTGGTCCCAGCAGCCGAACAAACCCAGAGCTCCTGCTGGCAAGAGAGAAAGCAGCGTGTTGGCTTTGGTAGATGTGTGCAGGGCCACGTCTCGGAGGCTGATCCGTGCGGCGGTGAGCGAGCCCTGCACACTCGGGCACGGCGAGCTGTAGCAGAGGGCTAAAGCTCACACCAGCACAGCACAGCAAGGCCAGGCTGGAGTTACCCGTCCCTGTGTGACCGTGGCAGTCGCTCTACGTGATTAGCAGGGACCAGACCCAGCTCTGGGCTACATCCTGCACCTGGATCCTACAACTGGCGCTGCTGGGACAGGCAAATCTTGCCCTGTCCCTGCGCACAGGGGAGCTCCTGTGCTGAGTTACTATTTCAGATGCAAATGTCTCTTCTGAGGGCTCTGGGAGCTCCAGGGTGGCGTGGGCAAGCCAGCCATCCCCCCGCCCTGCATCATCCTTTGGGGAAAGGTCCCCTGAAACCCAGTGGGGACTTTCTCCAGGGCTCTGCAGCACCCTACCCTTGTAGGAGCGAGCTCAGTGATGCAAAGGGTCCCTGGGGCATGCACGGCCTGGGGCACACAGCGCAGAGCTGGCTGTGCTCGCTGGGGCGAATGCAACAGGAGCGTAACTCGGTGAGGATCTGGCCCGAGGTGTTGCTCCGAGAGCCCCGGTTCATCCCGGCGGGTTGCTTCCCACTGCCTCTTGCCCCCTCCCTGCCTCCAGTCCAGGAACCGGGACCCTGGCGGGGTGATGTTGGTGTCTAGACAGGCTGAGCTGCAGGCTGCCGCCGCCGCCTCGCCTGCGCAGGGCTCCAGGTCCTGCTGGGTGAGGGCGTTTCAGACGGGAACTTTGAGCCTGTCCCTATCTGGCGTGCACAGAGGTTCCTCTGTGTGCTCAGACGGCAGTAAACCCGGCGAGAGCAAAGATCCCAAGGTGGGCTGAGGGCTGGAGCAAAGCCCCAGGATTATCTGCCCTAATCTGCCGAGCAAGAGCCAAGGTGTCCTTGAACCAGCCCCGTGTCTGAGTCGCGCAGCCACAACCGTCGCCGGCAGCGGGGTTTGCTGGGCTGGTTGTAGGTGCCTGCAGCCCGTCTGCGACGCTTCTCCATGGCAGGGACCGTCTTCCCCAACAGTCGCCCGTCGCTGCGTCCTCAACGTGTTACCCGTGCCCGTCATTCCCTGTGCACCGCGGCGGCCGGGAACGCCGCAGCGGGGCTGGGTTGGAGGTTGGGGGGCTCTGACCGTGGAGCTGCTTCCCCCACCCCCCCCCAAAAAAAAAAAAAAAGCCCTGGCTGTTGCGGGCTGCGCTGGCTCCTGCCTTTGCAGCAGCACCCACAAGGTGGCATTGAGGCTGGCGCAGCGGTGCATGCCCTGCACGTTGCTGCACACGTGTGCAGGGCCCGGCTGCAGAGATGGGAACTGCTGGCTGAGCACCCTCCTGCCTGGGCCAGCCTGGGGTGCGGGAGGGCAGCACCCAGCCCCGCGCCCCGGCTGGGTGCTCCTGCGGGGAAGCACTGCTGGTTAAAAGGGCTTTTTTTTTTTTTTTTTCCCACCCCGCTCTTGCGTCCAGCTATCTGCCTGCAGAAGACAAGGCCCTGCCTGTGTCTGTGCCTGAGATGCAGCCGGGAGCTGATGCGGCAGCACCCTGCACCTCTTGTCTGTGTGAGGGGGTAGGGAACAACCGGCCCCCAATTTGGCTGGGGTGCAGAAAGGGCTGGTGCTTTGCGGGGGCTCTGCTGAGAGCAGGGCAGCTCCCCAGTTGCTCATAGGCTGTTTTGAAGCTCTCAGGGTTCTCCTGGGCGCCAGGAGGGCGGTGGGGGGGTAGAGCCACCCCAGCAGGTCCCCGCTGCCTGCAGAGCAGGGGAAAGGCTGGGGACAGTGACCTTGAAGAGGGGACGACCCCCAGGCGCAGTGTGTAACTTTGGGGGTGCGGGGGACCCGTTGCTGTGGGCCGGCAGGGAGGGTCTTGCCCATCACGGTGGAAGAAGGAGGGGGAAATGCAGGAGGCAGCGCATCCAGTGAAAGCCAACCCCCTCCCCAGCCCCTAATGCCATGTGGCTAATGGGGGGATTATAGGATCAAGGGCAGCTGCCGGTTTTTGTCTTCCCGGAGAGCCCACGTCTCTCCCCACGCCAGCTCGGCTGCGGAGGATGAAGGGTCCCCGCGTGCTGCGGGCTCTGAGCCGCCGGCCGCGCGGGCTGGGTGCAGGCAGGGTCCCAGCCGCGGTGCCCAGCAGCTCTGACAGGCAGAAGTAGGGCAGTGACATGGATCAGGGCACGGTGCCATCGCTGTAGGGCTGGAGTTTGCAGGTCCCCAGCGCCCAGCTCTGCAGCCGGGGGCTCTCCCTGCCACCGGGCCAGGGCTGGGGAAGGGGCCTGCCAGCCCCTGGCCCTCGGCGCGGCCCAGGGGAGCAAGCAGTGGCCTTTGGGCTCCAGAGAACAAGCTGTGGCTGTTGAGCTGCTTTGCTGCCCGTCCTCTGCCCTCCCCCTGGGGTGCAGAGTCTGGGGGGGCTGCCTGACCTGCTGCAGAGGAGCTTGGCTGGGAACAAATGGGCTCCTCTGCCCCCAGAGATGCAGGATGCAGGGGGGGAGCATGGTCCCAGCTGTCGCCCTGATACTGGGATGCAGGGAGGGAGCATGTTCTTGGCTGTCTCCCTGATGCTGGGATGCAGGGGGGGTCCCAGCTGTCCCCCTGATGCTGGGATGCAGGGGGGGTCCTGGCTGTCCCCCTGATGCTGGGATGCGGGGGGAGTCCTGGCTGTCCCCCTGATGCTGGGATGCAGGGGGGGGTCCTGGCTGTCCCCCTGATGCTGGGATGCAGGAGGGGGGGGTGTCCTGGCTGTCCCCCTGATGCTGGGATGCAGGGGGGCGGTCCTGGCTGTCCCCCTGATGCTGGGATGCAGGGGTGGTCCTGACTGTTCCCCTGATGCTGGGATGCGGTGGGGGGTCCTGGCTGTTCCCCTGATGCTGGGATGCAGGGGGGGGTCCTGGCTGTCCCCCTGATGCTGGGATGCAGGGGGGGGTCCTGGCTGTCCCCCTGATGCTGGGATGCGGGGGGGGGTCCTGGCTGTTCCCCTGATGCTGGGATGCGGGGGGGGGGTCCTGGCTGTCCCCCTGATGCTGGGATGCAGGGGTGGTCCTGACTGTTCCCCTGATGCTGGGATGCAGGGGGGGGTCCTGGCTGTCCCCCTGATGCTGGGATGCAGGGGGGGGTCCTGGCTGTTCCCCTGATGCTGGGATGCAGGGGGGGGTCCTGGCTGTCCCCCTGATGCTGGGATGCAGGGGGGGGTCCTGGCTGTCCCCCTGATGCTGGGATGCAGGGGGCGGTCCTGGCTGTCCCCCTGATGCTGGGATGCAGGGGTGGTCCTGACTGTTCCCCTGATGCTGGGATGCAGGGGGGGGTCCTGGCTGTCCCCCTGATGCTGGGATGCAGGGGTGGTCCTGACTGTTCCCCTGATGCTGGGATGCGGTGGGGGGTCCTGGCTGTTCCCCTGATGCTGGGATGCAGGGGGGGGTCCTGGCTGTCCCCCTGATGCTGGGATGCGGGGGGAGTCCTGGCTGTCCCCCTGATGCTGGGATGCAGGGGGGGGTCCTGGCTGTTCCCCTGATGCTGGGATGCAGGGGGGCGGTCCTGGCTGTCCCCCTGATGCTGGGATGCAGGGGTGGTCCTGACTGTTCCCCTGATGCTGGGATGCAGGGGGGGGTCCTGGCTGTCCCCCTGATGCTGGGATGCAGGGGGGGGTCCTGGCTGTTCCCCTGATGCTGGGATGCAGGGGGGCGGTCCTGGCTGTCCCCCTGATGCTGGGATGCAGGGGGGCGGTCCTGGCTGTCCCCCTGATGCTGGGATGCAGGGGTGGTCCTGACTGTTCCCCTGATGCTGGGATGCAGGGGGGGGTCCTGGCTGTCCCCCTGATGCTGGGATGCAGGGGTGGTCCTGACTGTTCCCCTGATGCTGGGATGCAGGGGGGGGTCCTGGCTGTCCCCCTGATGCTGGGATGCAGGGGGGCGGTCCTGGCTGTCCCCCTGATGCTGGGATGCAGGGGTGGTCCTGACTGTTCCCCTGATGCTGGGATGCAGGGGGGGGGTCCTGGCTGTTCCCCTGATGCTGGGATGCAGGGGTGGTCCTGACTGTTCCCCTGATGCTGGGATGCAGGGGGGGAACGCGGTCCCAGCTGTTCCACTGATGCTGGGGTGCAGGCTGGCACCGTGGTCCACGCTGCTCCCCCAGGGATGCAGGGGTGCGTGCGGGGGGGGGAGCAGTGTGGTCCTGCCCTCCCCTCTCCTCCCCCCCCCGCCCCCCCCCCCCCCCCCCCTCCGCGAAATGCTGCAGGGAGGGGGCAGCACGATCGCGACTCCCCCCCAGGCGATGCCGGAGAACGCGGGCGGTTCGCTGCGGTGTCCCCCAACCCCGGGTGATGTCGGGGGCAGAGCGCTGGGGGGGGTGGGGGGGGTGGGCGGGGGCGGCAGGCGCAGCCCCCCCCCCGCCGTGCTCGGTGCCAGCCCGGCATCACGTGCCGCTCGGCGGCCCCCGAGCATGCCCAGCTCCGGCTCCGGCTCCGGCTCCGGCTCCGCTCCGGCTCGGGCTGGGGCTGGGGCTGGCCGGGAGGATGCTGTGCCCGTAGGCAGCGGGGGGGGCTCCGGCCGCTGCCCGCTCCGCACGGTGAGTACCCCCAAGCGCGGCTCCCTCCCTTCCTCCCCCGCC